CTGTTCTCGCGGGATGGACTTCACCTGAGTAGGGAAGGGAATAGACTTCTGGGAGGGAGGCTGGCTCATCTCATCAAAAGGGCTTTAAACTAGGAACTTGGGGGAGACGGTTGGGAGATGTTCAGTTAATCTCCACGCCAGAGTCCAACACTGAAAAGGAGAGGGAGGAGATAAGCACAGACATAGGTAGGGGTAGGGAATTGGACATAAGAAAGAGGGGGCAAATGGACAGCATGGGGTCCGTTCCAAATTGCATGACTAATGGGAGAAAGGATAGACAGCATACGGTAAGATGTTTATACACCAATGCGAGAAGCCTAGGTAACAAAATGGAGGAATTGGAGCTCCTGGTCCAAGAAATGAAACCTGATATCGTAGGAATAACCGAAACGTGGTGGAACGGTAGTCATGACTGGAGTACAGGTATGGAAGGGTATGTGCTGTTTAGAAATGACCGGAAAAAAGGTAAAGGTGGGGGAGTGGCGTTATATGTCAATAATGAGCTAAAATGTAAAGAAATAATAAGTGATGGAATGGATAAGACGGAGTCTGTATGGGCAATAATTACACTGCATAAAAGAACTACTAGAGCCTCCCCCGAGATAGTGCTTGGGGTGTGCTATAGACCGCCGGGATCTAGCCTGGAGGCGGACAGAGAACTACTTAATGTTTTTAGGGAAGTAAAAACTGATAAGAACTGTGTCATCATGGGGGACTTTAACTTCCCAGATATAGATTGGGTAACAAATGCTAGTAACAATAATAGGGCTCAGATGTTCTTAGACGTGCTAGCAGATGAATTCCTTCATCAAGTAGTAACTGAACCGACGAGAGGGGATGCCATTTTAGATTTAGTGCTGGTGAGTAGTGAGGACCTCGTTGAAGAAATGGTTGTAGGGGACAACCTTGGCTCGAGTGACCATGAGCTAATTCGGTTTAAACTAAATGGAAGGATTAACAGAAATGATACTGTAACTAAGGTGTACAATTTCAAAAAGGCCAACTTTAATAAATTAAGGCAACTACTTAGGGAAGTGGATTGGGCTAACATACTTAGGGATCTAAAGGCAGATGAAGCCTGGGATTATTTCAAGCAGAAGTTGCATGAGATGTCTGAGGCCTGTATCCCGAGAAAGGGAAAACGTTTAGTGGGCAGGAGATTTAGACCTAGCTGGATGAGCGGGAGTCTCAAAGGGGCGATTAAGAAAAAACATAAAGCATACAGAGAATGGAAGAAGGGAGGGATCAGCAAGGAAACCTACCTTAGTGAGTTTAGAGCATGTAGGGATGCGGTGAGAAAGGCCAAAAGCCGTGTAGAGTTGGACCTTGCAAGGGGAATTAAATCCAACAGTAAGAGGTTTTATAGCCATATAAATAGGAAGAAAACAAAGAAAGAGGAAGTGGGACCGCTGAAGAATGTGGATGGAGTGGAAATTAAGAATAATCTAGGCATGGCACAATATCTAAATGAATATTTTGCTTCGGTCTTTAATAAGGCTAATGAAGGGTTTAGGAATAGAGGGAGTAGGACAGAGGGGAATAAAGGGGGGATAGACATTACAGTATCAGAGGTGGAGGCCAAACTTGACCAGCTAAACGGGACTAAATCGGGCGGACCGGATGATCTTCATCCTAGAATATTGAAGGAACTGGCGCGAGAAATTGCGAGCCCCTTGGCGACAATTTTTAATGAATCTGTAAACTCGGGGGTGGTACCGTTGGACTGGAGAATAGCTAATGTGGTTCCTATTTTCAAGAAGGGGAAAAAAAGTGACCCGGGTAACTACAGGCCTGTTAGTTTAACTTCTGTAGTATGCAAGGTCTTGGAAAAAATTTTGAAGGAGAAAGTAGTTAAGGACCTTGAGGTGAATGGCAATTGGGACAAATTACAACATGGGTTTACGAAAGGCAGGTCGTGCCAAACCAACCTGATCTCCTTCTTTGAGAAAGTAACAGACCTTCTAGATAAAGGAAATGCGGTGGATCTAATATACCTCGATTTTAGTAAAGCGTTTGATACGGTTCCGCATGAGGAATTATTGGTTAAATTGGATAAGATGGGGATCGATAGGAAAATCCAGAGGTGGATAAGGAACTGGTTAAAGGGGAGACTGCAGCGGGTAGTACTGAAAGGTGAACTGTCAGATTGGAGGGAGGTCACCAGTGGGGTTCCTCAAGGTTCGGTTCTGGGTCCGATTTTATTTAATCTATTCGTTACTGACCTCGGAACCGAATGTAGGAGTGGGCTGATAAAGTTTGCGGATGACACAAAGTTGGGAGGCATTGCCAACTCGGAGAAGGATCGGGATATTCTGCAGGGAGACTTGGATGACCTTGTAAATTGGAGTATTAGTAATAGGATGAGATTTAATAGTGAGAAGTGTAAGGTGATGCATTTAGGGATGACTAATAAGAATTTCAGTTATAAGCTAGGGACGCATAGGTTAGAAGTGACTGAGGAGGAGAAGGACCTCGGAGTCCTGGTTGATCGCAGGATGACTATGAGTCGGCAATGCGACGCGGCTGTGAAAAAAGCTAATGCGATCTTGGGATGCATAAGGCGAGGTATTTCTAGTAGAGACAGGGAGGTGCTGCTTCCGTTATACAAGGCGCTGGTGAGACCTCACTTGGAGTACTGTGTGCAGTTCTGGTCTCCTATGTTTAAAAGGGATGAACTGAAACTGGAACGGGTACAGAGAAGGGCAACTAGGATGATCCGAGGAATGGAAAACCTTTCCTATGAAAGGAGACTCGAGGAGCTTGATTTGTTTAGCCTAACCAAAAGAAGGCTGAGGGGGGATATGATTGCTCTCTTTAAATATATCAAAGGGATAAATACCAGGGAGGGAGAGGAATTATTTCAGCTCAGTGCTAATGTGGACACAAGAACGAATGGATACAAACTGGCCGTGGGGAAATTTAGGCTTGAAATTAGACGAAGGTTTCTAACCGTCAGAGGGGTGAAATTTTGGAACAGCCTTCCGAGGGAAACGGTGGGGGCGAAAGACCTCTCTGGCTTCAAGATTAGGCTAGATAAGTTTATGGAGGGAATGGTTTGATGGGATTACGGGATTCTAATCAATTAGGCAATAACGGCCATCGCTGGTAAAATGAGGGTCTGGCTAGAGAATCTTGCCTGTATGCTCGGGGTTCTGCTGATCGCCATATTTGGGGTCGGGAAGGAATTTTCCTCCAGGGTAGATTGGCAGTGGCCCTGGAGGTTTTTCGCCTTCCTCCGCAGCATAGGGCAGGGGTCGCAAGCTGGGAAATTCTCTGCGACTTGAAGTCTTTAGATCACGATCTGGAGACTTCAACAGCAGAGTTAAGGGAAAGTGGGGGGGTCAGCTTTTGTGGCCTGCATCATGCGGGGGGTCAGACTAGATGACCATATTGGTCCCTTCTGACCTTAAAGTCTATGAGTCTATGAGTCTATGAGAGTGAACACTTCGGCAGCACAGGGCCCCCAGACAGCTTGAGTGGCCACGTAGCCCTCCGTGAGGTGGGCGGCCTCCGCGAGGATCTGCAAACCCAGCTTCGGTCCGCCGGTGGGAGAATCCAGACAGACTGCTCCATAGCTGGGAGTCCTGCTCTCCGGGATCCCATCTGAGAGGCTGGCTTTAACCACCACCAGCAGACGTCCTTTAGCCTTTGGGCGATCGCCCACGCCGACGGTAGGTTTCTTCATGTAGATCTAACCGGCCCTTCACCTCGTCACGTCCCCGGCATGCTGCCTGGGCTTCCCCAGCGAGGAGTGGGGCCAGCCGGACTGCCCACGGGGCCGGGGCCATTGAGAGGCTGTGGCCTCCCTTTCGGGGGTTACCAGGAATGACTCTGTTGTCTGTCATCAGGGTCGGAGTGGTGCCCGGATATGCCGGGGACACGCTCTGCATGGCGGCGGGTCCCCAAAGAGCAGCGGGAGGTCCCAGGCCCGCCAACCATTGGGACGACTGTTGCTGGTGCGATGCCATCTGCGCAAGCGATTGTTGCTGCGCCTGTTGTTGTGCTGGCGAGTCAGCCGGCTGGTGCAGGAGCCAGTTCACCCATCGCTCTTTGCACTGCAGCGACGGTTACATCCACCCCACTTCTGGGACTGCCTCGTCAGATGCTCTTGGGGCTGTCTCCTAACTATCTCCCTCTAGCCACCTCCAACTGGCCCAGCCCTAAAATGGGTCAATCAGCCCTTAAACTCCAGGGCGTCTGTTGTCTCCCCATCAGTTCCTTAGAGGCAGCCTGGCCCAGTTGTTGCCCTCCACTATCCCAGGCCTTCCTGCCTCCCCATCTCGCTCAGTCCTCCCTCCTTTATAGCTGTGGCTGCCTGCAGGCCTCTGTGACTGTCAGCCTGGTGCCTCTCTCCCTGGTCTCCACCTGGCCTTTGTGAGCCCCGTTACGGGTGATCAGGGCCGTGTTGGGTGGGGGGCCATGCCGGAGTGCTGCGTGTATTGCCTTCTGGCCCCAGCGCCCTGACAGCCGGCCCCAGTTTGCCAGCCTGGGAGATTCTGGCAATGACTTTTCCCCGAGTTGGCAGCTCTAGCTTCCCACCCAGCACGGTTTGCATGTGGAGCTGAGTGTGCTCGAATACCAGCCAGTCCCTCCCGCCTGGCGCAGCATTGTGCAACAACAGCTCCCTGCCAAGCCAGCCCTCCCAGGTGTGACCACACCTCCCCTCGCTCCAAGCAGCATAAATAGCCGGGCGAAGCTTGGCAAGAAATCAGACAGGAGGCAGGCGAAGAATGGGCGACCCGGAGCCGCAGGCGGGCCTGGGTACTGCATTGCCATCAGCAAGCTACAGCTGCGAAGGGTTCTCTCTTCTGCTACTTCTCTGCTGGGTCTTGCGGCTCTATGGGGCTTTTTTCCTTCCTCTTTTGCCGAGAGTGCATTTCATCTCCTTGTAGCTGGATCCGGGAGGCAGCCACCCCGCCGGGATAGGCTGAGACGCAGCTCCGAGACAGGACAGAAGTTTGCAGCACGACGACCGTATTCTAAAGCCAGAAAATGGGCTGATGTATAGAGATCTCGGTAGTGGGCAAGCAAGCGGCACGCCACAGAGCCAGCCCACGGCCGATCAGGGGCATTTTGATTTTCTTTGAATAAGTGAGAGTTTAGTTGTAACAAGGTGAAACCCCAGCTCATTTCTAAACAAATTCCCCTCCGGCTTTAATTTTAGCTGCGTTTCTCTGACTGTAGTTTTCATTCCCTCCGAGGTGACACACAGGAAGCAAAAGGTCACCGCAGCGTGGAAGTTGCAGCGCAGCTGGTTACGACACAGGCTGCAAGGCGCATGCAGGTTGAAAATTACGCTAGTGGAAATTTTGATGCCACAGAATGAGTTACGCTATAGAGCAATGATGTACATTACAGGCATGCGGGAGCATGTGACAGCCTCTATAAAGAGACCCATGCTGGCCCAATGGCAGAGTAGATCTACAGAGCAGGGTCAGCCGGTGCAGGATGGGTTGTCCGGTGTGTTGGCTCAGTTACCTGATAGTACTGTTTCTCTTTTACTGTTCAGAGGCCCGTCCGTCCAATAGTCATGAAAAGCCAGCCACCCAGATGAAAGTCCCCAAGTACCGGTAAGTGATTTCTGTGTCCTCACAGCGCAGGGCTGCAGAGTTCAGATCCATGGCCGAGCAATTGCGAGGATTTTCACAAGGCGGGACTGGCTCCCTGTGGTGTTTGTTGTTCTCTGTATTGTGGTAGGGCCTCGGAGCCCCAGTCATGGAGCAGGGCCGCGTTGTGTGAGGTGCTGACAGCAGCGACGGGGCGACTGCGAGAGCAGACAACAGCCCAAGGAAGGGTGGGTTGGGCGTGGCAAAGGGGATGTTCGGTGGGACCAGGCACCCAGCACCCATCAGCTCCTCTGCAATCCCGAAGCAGGATCCCTGAGCTCACTGCCAGCGGAGCGGGGCCTGCGGGAGGCACATGGCTGGGGCTGGGGCTGGCGGGTCCGTGGTGTCTTGTTGCACTGCTGGGTCTAGGGTCGCTGAGGGCTGTGTGGACTTGGAGAGAAGCTGGCATGGCCCTGCATGGATGCTTCCATTTGAGCTTGGAGCAGGTTATGTCTGTTTAGATCAGTTGGGAATCGGCGCTGGGGGGGTTGAAGGGGTGGTGGGGGTTTGGAGGGGCAGGGCAGGGTGCTGGGCGTCAGAGG